GAAAAATGTTTTAATGTAGATATTTCCTGAAATCACAGTCCTTCCCTCCAACAAGGTTTGTTTAGTATTTCAAGTAACTCCTAGGTTAGATCCAGCCTCTGTGTTGTACTCACTTCTCAGTCTTCACAGGTTTTGAGTTCATTTCTGCATAGTGGCCCAGAAATTAGGAAGGTTACTAAATTTCCACCCCCATCCATCTAGTCCACATTTATGTGGGAATTTAGGGCACTGAAATATGAGAAATCTAATTTCAAACTGCTTTAGTAGGAAAGAGTCTCCACAACATCTAGGCTAGCATACAAAAAGTGGCAGCTATCAGCATCTTCTTCTGTTTTTATTTGTTTAGCCAAACATTTATCATAGAATCATAGAATCATACAATTGCCTGGGTTGAAAAGGACCACAATGATCATCTAGTTTCAACCCCCCTGCTATGCACAGGGTCACCAATCACCAGACCAGGCTGCCCAGAGCCACATCCAGCCTGGCCTTGGATGCCTCCAGGGATGGGGCATCCACAGCCTCCTTGGGCAACCTGTTCCAGTGCATCACCACCCTCTGTGTGAAAAACTTCCTCCTAATATCCAACCTAAACCTTCCCTGTCTCAGTTTAAGACCATTTCCCCTTGTCCTATCATTATCCACCCTCATAAACAGCCATTCTCCCTCCTATTTATATGCTCCCTTCAAGTTCTGGAAGGCCACAATGAGGTCTCCCTGGAGCCTTCTCTTCTCCAAGCTAAACAAGCCCAGTTCCCTCAACCTTCCCTCATAGGAGAGGTGCTCCAGCCCTCTGATCATCTTAGTGGCCCTCCTCTGGACCCACTCCAAGAGCTCCATGTCCTTACTGTCCCCCCTTTCTGGGGGCTCCAGGCCTGGATGCAATACTGCAGATGGAGCCTCACAAGAGCTGAGTAGAGGGGGACAATCACCTCCCTCTTCCTGCTGGCCACCTCTTTTTTAATGCAGTCCAGAACAGTTGGCCTTCTAAGCTGCAAACGCACACTGCTGGCTCATGTCCAGCTTCTCATCTAACAAGACCCCCAAGTCCTTCTCTGCGGGGCTGCTCTCTCCCCTTTTTTAGTGGGAAAGTGAATGCTCATTGAGTATCTAAGTGTACTTTTTGGAAGAGAATCTGGAACGGATTAAAATTCCTGTAGAGCTGTCCTGACTTGTAGGTGCTAGGCATTCAGAGATGGCAATTAAATTTGTATTAATTTATTCATTTTTGATTCTACCTGGGCTTCTCACTTGGAATATAGATTTTCTGAGTCTAACAAAAGCATCAAATTCATATTTACACTATAGCATGGCACTTGCATTTCACTTGAAAGTTGGTATATAAAATTTTATACGTATTTTACAAAGCATCTCATCTCTAAAAAGACTAAATATCCTTAAAATTTGCATGATTGTCTCCTAAATAGGATTCTATGTCTACTTTATGATCCAGATGTGCAATTATGTCATATATAGAAATATCTATGATAGCTCTAGACTGGCTTTCTTACTCGGCTCTGTCAAGAATAAAAATATGACAACTTGGGCTTTAGTGAAAGCTTCATAAATATGGGTATGAATCTGGACAAAATCTTTGAGAGACCTACTATTTTAGTAGAGGTAGGAAGGCTGAAAGACAGGGCATTGGAATTGAGTAGAACAGTTTCTACAGAGGGAAAAATGAGAAGGTAAATTAAAGGAGAACAGACTCTAGAAGAGCTTTATGTGTGATGATAAGAAGAGCTTAGAGAAAGGGAAAGAAAAAGAATGGATTGGGAAGAATTGTTATCAGGATTGTTATCAGGACTATGAAGGATGATAAACAGGCATGCTAGCAGGTGGAGACTGCACATGACTTTCTGAATAAGGTAACCATCAGCAGAGATATTGAAAAACAGTGTATAAAACAGGTGAAGCATTTGTATAGCCAGTCAGTTATGGAAGGTGATAAATATGCAAAGAAAATATAGCACTTGGATTCAGTATCATAGATAATCTCTATGTAGGTGAATCATATTTTGTTGATACATAAAGTAATGTAGGGAAAAATTAAAAAATGAATCCATTATGAAATAAATCCACTTAGCACAATGAATTATAGAATGAGCTAATTATGCAGGAACTATCACAAAGCAATAGTGAGAGTAGGGAACTGAAGAGGAGGCAATGAACAGCCAGAAATGAAGCCAAAAGTAGGATGTGGTACTGAGAGATGTAAATGGCCAAATTTCAACCACTTATGCCTCCTGAGTACACGGGACATCACGCTGCTTTGTGAAGTGCTAGGAGGAAGGTGTGGCCAGCAGGGACAGGGAGGTAATTTTTCCCCTCTACTCTGCTCTTGTGAGGCCCCATCTGGAGTACTGTGTCCAGATCTGGAGCCCCCAGTACAAGAAAGACAGGGAGCTGTTGGAGAAGGTCCAGAGGAGGGCCACTAAGATGATCAGGGGACTGGAGCACCTCCCCTATGAAGACAGGCTGAGGTAGCTGGGCTTGTTCAGCTTGGAGAAAAGAAGGCTGCGGGGCGACCTCATTGCAGCCTTTCAGTACCTAAAGGGAACCTACAAACAGGAGGGGGATCAACTCTTTGAAAGGGTAGATAACAGCAGGACAAGGGGAAATGGTTTTAAGTTGAGGGAGGGGAGATTTAAGTTGGATGTCAGGGGGAAGTTCTTTACAGAGAGAGTGGTGAGGTGCTGGAACAGGCTGCCCAGAGAGGTTGTGGATGCCCTGTCCCTGGAAGTGTTCAAGGCCAGACTGGATGGGGCCCTGGGCAGCCTGGTTTAGTATTAAATGGGGAGGTTGATGGCCCTGCATGTGGCAGGGGGCTGGAGATTCATGATCCTTGAGGTCTGTTCTAACCCTGGCAATTCTGTGATTCTGTGAAGAGAGAAGGTGATGGCTGCTTTTGGGCACGTGAAAAGAAGGGGGTGAAGATGAGCTCCTCTCAGGATGTTGGTTTGTATTTCGGGATAGTGGAGCTTCACAAAGAGCTTGTGATTAGAGGTTTTACTGATCTGTTTCATGCTGAATAAACCAGAGAAATTACTTAGAAATCTCATAAAAACTTTTTCTCTGTCTAGTTTTAATTACTCACCTTAACTGGTCTCTTTTAAATAGTTCTGGCTGAGCTATGGCTGTACTTTTGAAAATTCTGTCCAAATACTAACATACATCACAAAATGCTCTATCTAGTCTCTTGTCATTTTCTTCTCCACAGTTGTTATTTATTTTCTTCTTCTAGCAGCTGACTATGGGATTTTAGACTTGTTACAAAGATTACTGAGTATTGCAGGGGACTTTATTTATTGCAGTAGCCTTGGCATGAACTGCTTTAAACTAGCTTCGCTTTTCTTCCCTGAGATGGAATTCCTTGTTCATTGTGGTGCCTGTGCAAGTGCTTTGGACTGTATATCCACTGTTTATCTAACTTGTTAATACCCATATGCAAAAGAGAAGCTCTCTTCTGGTTGTTTGAAAATAGGACTTTTAAACTTCCAGAGAACTGTGGATTTTAAAAACATGCAGACAAGTGTCTGCACTGCTAACTGCTACACTGTCCTACATTAACTAGTGAAGCAGTTGTTTCTGTGCCATCACTTCTCATATTTTTCATTTTAGAAGGGGAAAGAAGAAGTAATTTGTACCTTGAAATATAGATTCATGAATATTCTTAACAATATATAGATCAGATTTTGGATTGAAGAATTTTCTTTAACCATATTTCATTCTGCCATGGAGTAGCATCTGTGACTTAATGTTGCTAGAGAAACACGTAAATTCTGACTTGATTTTACAGTGCTTGCCTTACAGTTACAGTTAATCCATTCAGATTTTTTAATCATTGATTTACTAATATAGTCATTTTATAATAGGATAATTACATTCAATGGACTTTGTTTAAAGTTTCGTGATATAAGGAAAGGGATTTTGATACTAGCTACAGTTAGACAAAGTGCAAGAAGTGATCATACAAGTTTCCCTGTGATCTTTTTGAAGTGTTCTTCAATTAGAAAGATAACTTATGGAAAGAAATCTTCAGTAGATCATAAGATTCAGTGAATCTTATAGAAGATTCACTGATAAGAACCTGAATTGTCCTCACAAAGAAAAAGGATGACATAGTAAAAAAACATAGGTTCTATGCTTTCCTTTGCTACTGGAGAACGGAAAAAGATGCTGCAGATGTGGGGGTCATGGTCAGTGAATGGTTAGTGCTTTACTCACCCTTACACTTAATTTTGGTAGCTGTGCAGTATTCATTCTGTGTGGTTGTTTTTTTTTTTTCTTTTTCTTTTTCTTTTTTTCTTTCAGAGCTATGGTACTCTGATATAAGATATGCCTATTAAAATAAATAAATAAATAGGTATATGAAGGAGCAGAATAACTATGGCCACCTGTCACAGCTCCCGGCAATCAGCTGTTCAGGGAAATAATTACCCAGTATTACTGCCCTTAGCTCTTTAATCCAGACCTGGAAATCTTGTGATGGCAAATCATCTTTAATAGCATTGAATTCTTCTTTTTGTAGAATAACAGCTCAATTAATCATGTTCTTCAATAGATTTGAATATCATGTCGGCTAATGCTTTTCTATTTTTTATTTTTTTATATATATGATGATCCATTTAAATATGCAGTGTTCTTACTTAATCCGGTAAATGTCTTTATTTTGAGAATTCCTAAGAGGAAATCAGGCTTACAGAAATAGAAAATCGGTTTTGTTTGATTGACTGATAAAAGTGGATAAGCCAATGGAGTTTGTGAAAAGCTTGAAAAGTTTGTTGCCTTTTTATGATGGTTGAATAGTGCTGGTATTCCTGCAGCAAGTCACTGGCTAGAAGTCAGTGAGAATTCAGAGTTCTTAATCTTTCCCAGAAATGAAAAACAAGGCCAGCTCCTCAGCACTTTTAAGAGGAAAAAATTTTTTTACAGTTGTATACAGTATATATATATTTTTTTCCAGATAATCTTGGAGCACTCATAAATGTTTTACTGACCTTGATCCTTTGGTGAAGGCTCTGCCTTCTTATTGGCCTCAGTTTTCTGTGGGTCATCTTTTTTTGTATTTTCACCCTTAAGAAAATAAACAGAAACTAGATGGTCATTGCTGAGAACGATAAGCATGGTCTGGAGTTTGAAGCATTTGCTAGCAATTTGGCTAACCAAGTTTAACACCTACTGAGCTGTTTTCCTGGGTGCTGTGTGTGTTCTTGGACCAGAATTTCCAGCTAAATTCACAAAAGGATTTGGATGCTGAAACCAAAAATTGATGTCTTCACATGTGCTGCACATCCTCAGTTATGCAGTTATGCAAAAATTAAAATATCAATGTGAGTATAATGCTCTACAGTTACCAGATATTGTGTTCCTATCTCCTTTTCTCTTTAGAGGATATATTCTCACAAACAGAAATGTCCTAATCCTTAACTCATTCATCTATCTATCTATATTTTAGCAGTATCATTTTAATAGTACCATTTGGGTATTGCACTGATGTATGGAATCATTCTGGTGAAAAGAGTAATCCATGTCTCTAGGGAAATCTGGATACATATTTCTTTCCTACAACAGTGTTCAGCTGTTCAAATTTGGGATTTTTCTTCTTTCAAGAAAATGTTTTATTGACACAAAAGCAGTTGATGTGAAGAACAATACTCATAGTGGCCCAAAAGCTATTAAATCACTTTTTCTTTCGGTGAGTAATGTCATATGATGCATTGTAAGGAAGCAAAATGTGGAATAACCTTCTAGAATTGCAAGCACTTGTGAGTTTTTTTTCCTCATGAGTGAGAACTTTTGCTTTCCAGGACCTTCATAGCTGATTCACTGTCACCTTTGCAATTTTCCCTGCAGCTCTTAGAAATTTTGAAATGCTTTAGAAGTATTAGGACTATTTCATTTTCCATCAGAAATTTTTACTTAATTTAGTGCGGTTCTGTATCAATTTTCCTGATGCTTTAGTCCCTCCACTAAGTGCAGTGCTCATTAATGTATTCCTAAATAATTAGACCACGATAAACAAATGCAACAAAATGATTTTTCACTGAAATTATAAAATAGTGAAAATTATTCATCTAATTCTGACGAATTTCAACACTTCTGTGTTTCCCCTGTGTTTTAAATTCTTGATTGGATTTTCACTTATCAGAGTTCATCATTCCACAGCTTTTTTTCATAAGACAATTTTCTTTAGTTTCCCGTGAACTGCTAATATTTTACACAGCTTCTAAAAACTGATTTCCTCTTTATTCATGGCTGAGAAAGTCTTTTGTGATTGAAGAATGGAAAATCATGATGATGAATGTGTCTGAACTAAAGAAGGATAGATTTAGATTAGACAATAAGAAGGAATTCTTCATGTTGAGAATGGTGAGGCAGTTGCACAGGCTGCCCAGAGAAGCTGTGGATATCCCATCCATAGACATGTTCAAGACAAGGTTGGATGGGGCCTTGGGCAGCCTGATCTAATGGAATGGGATTTGAAAGTAGATCATCCTGAAGACCACTTCCAACCCAAACCATTCTATAATACAATGATGCCATTTTAAATTGATGGCAATATGGACTTGCCTGCTCAAAAATTTTTTTTCTATGTTTATAATAATTAGAAAAGAAAATTTGAGTTGCAGTTGGATTAAACTGCATCTCTTGTTGAGGGTGTACAAAACTATGAGCTTCAGAAAAATGCAAGTTCTAAGAAATTATTCAAACTTATCAATGTTTCTTTTGATAAGGTAAAATTTTTGGAACTTATGTATATGTAAATTTAGACTCACAGAATTTAAGTCAGCCATTGTATATGCTAGACTACTGCAAACATGTTAAAAAGACATTTAATTAAATTTAGCCTTCTAATGACTTTTTAAAAATTCTTTTTATCAAGCCTGAATTCAGATTAATAGCTCAGACTGATACTAAATCACCGGTTTCACAGTCCTAACTATTTGGTTTAACCCTAAATTGTTAGCATTTTGCTTGTGAATTTGTAACTATGTCAAGATAAGAGAAATAAAACAAACAAAAGAAACAACACAAAAACTCAAAACACTTTCTGACATTATTGGTAGATGATTTAAAAATACAAAATATTTCAAAGGTACAAAAGAAGAGTATTCTGCTTTTTTAAAAATATTCCATTAATTGATATGAAAAGAATAAATTAATTTTATAGCAAATAACTGCTAAAAAAAATGTAGACTGTAGAGTAAAATGACTTACTGTATTTTTCAGATTGAATTATATTAGTAATAGCAAACCAAATGAAATATATATTTTAAAGAAGGTTACTAAATTACTTTATCTTTCACAGAACAATTGAAAAGCAGGGTGATGTATACCTGTATGCCACTCCACTATTCAGAATACATATACTGACATTTTCTGCCTGCAGGGAACAAAGTGAAGAGGAATACATCAGCACAACAAAAGTGATCATAATAATGCTTCTAATTCCCTGTTTGCAATGTTAGGATAGTTCTATTTGACAAATGATTTGCTAAAGGAGGAAATGTTTCTTCATAAAGAAGAGGTGGGAAAAAAGAGAGAAATTATCTTGATTTTGCAAAATAATGATCAATATGCTTTTAAGTAACTCTGTTTAAATATCAGTACTCCCCAACCAAAAGGTTATATTATTGAGTCTCTAAACAATATACTATACCTGGTCTGTAGACGGCTTGGATGGTGGAGGAATGCCTTCATTTTCACTGTCTGATTGCTCAGGTGATAATTTTGTTCTGGAAAACACTCCTTTTAGTCTTTTAAACATGTCGCCCAGTCAGCTCTCCTGAATCCTCTATAACTCTTTTACCGTGAGTAGGTTGTAACATATGCTTTCTTGCTGTCAGTAATCAAGCCAATTAAATTCTTAATCAGGTTTTGTTCTGATTGATGCCTTAAGGAAATTCCTTTAAGAGTCTGTTCTAGCCATGGCTTTTGCTCACCAGTTGTACTTATGTTTTATGTTATTTGTTATGTTTATGTGCAATTTTAGTGGATTAAATTGGCTTATGTGGGAAACTTTAATCATCGCGTGTTTGTAGACTGAGCCTTTTTGAGAGCAACAGTATTCTCATGAGCATATAGTTTTTCATTATACGTTTTTAGAATAAGTAAATTCTTTCCTTGAGTATTGAAAATGTTCCTTGACTATGATAAAGATGTACATAAAGCATAATATAATGAAAGTAATATGTATTAGTGGAGAATATATATCTCTTAAGAATTTCTGCAAAGAAATGCATATTTCTCATCTAAAAATATACCAAGCTACAATTTCTTTTTTCTTTTTTCTTTTTTCTTTCTTTTTTTTTTTTTTTTTAAGTAGTGTATTTTCTGGTTTTAATTTATAATAAAAAGACATGCAAAAAGAATGCAACAGACATTAAAAGAAGAGTGCCCTTGGGAACCTGTTAATAACTGTTGACATCCATAGTCAATGACTGTGTTATTGAGTTGATCTGTGACTAATGAAATAGATGTTTGCAACCCCTTAATGTGATGCAATAGGCAGACCATAGCAAATATAATATATTTATACCAGTGGAGGTGCATGTTCACTTCCTGACCATAGTAAAGCGATTAATCTGCCTTTATTTCATTTCTCGCTCATGTAGTATGGGTATTTAGTTATTTTTATCAGGCTCTGAATGTGCTAAAAGCAATTCACTTAATTGAATATCATAATGCTCTGTTAAGTAAGAAGATTAAGAGTGCAGCAGCAAACCAGACAGCATGTATCTGGTTAGCTTAGCTATGTTGCCTTCGACCACTTCTTACTATATGCTGTATTTATGACAGCCTTAGAGGATACAGGGATTTCAAATCTGCCTCAAGTTTTCTCTCCATACAGGTGCAGTATATCCTATTTTTATTAATGCTGTGCACACTTCCTTTTCTTTCGATTTAAAAAATGGTATATGTATAGACTTTCCAAACTTTGGGTAGCATTATTCTTCCAAGGATTTTTTTAAATCAAAAAGTAAATTTGAAGCACGGAATTCACAGACTGGATTTTATATTTAAACTTTATGCAAGAGATTATTCTTCATGAAACATAGCAGGTGTCTTAGAAACTTAGGTCATTTAAATGCTGCGTATCCACTTGAAATGTAATCACTCCCAAAACAGCTGGCATGAAACTTTTCCATCTGATACTGTTTTAAATAGAGCAGTACTTCTTAAACCATAAGAATATACAAAAGATTGCATGATTTTTTTCCCTCGCCTTACACTCATTATAAAATGCATGAGTCCTGTGAGCCTAGACTTAACTATCAGTATATTTAATGGACTTAGATTGAATCCCAAGGATTGCTTTGCTTCTTCAACAGGCAGTTTCGGTTGCTCTGTTTGTGTGAATGTATAGATCAATAGCCATCATATGAAGTTTTTATTTTCGTATTAAATTAGGTGTAGCATATTACAAACATCAGAATGTTTGTTTCACTTCCATTCAGATCTTCCCACAATGCCAAATGTAACATGCAGATGTTTTCCATAGGTATCTGTCTTCAGGTTCATTTTAGGATTCAAGTGTCTTGACAGCTAAAAGTAATGCATCTTTCTTAGCTCTGTAGTAGTCAGAAACCTCATCTCACATTTATCATAACCTTTCCTCTGAGTAATGTAAGGTTTGTCAGTTTTCCCTGTTTTTGTGGATTAACAAAAATCAAAGCACTAATTTATGTCTTCTGTAATTTTGAGAACTTTAGTAGGACTTTTTAATGTATATTTACATACACTTACAAAAAATATTCTGGAGCTCAGATTTTTTATATCAATTTATTTTCTTGTTTTTAAAACTCTTAGCATCTTCTAACTATGCCTTTACAAAGAGTATGAATTTATGCTTGTTGTGGAAATGTCTCTCTAAAACTATTACCACAGCCATGATGAAATATGTATTAATATTTAGTGAGGCAACTTAAGAAATAACAAAGATAGGTGCTTGAGAAGATTTTGGAACTGTGTATGTCAGGGTATAGGTTACTTAAAAGATGACTTTCCCCTGTTTTGATACAGCTATTCTTATGCTGATTCATACGGCTTTTCTTATGTTGCATACACATAGAGACACAAATGTATCATAATCAATATCTACAGCCCAAGTTTGAGCCAGTAATGAGTCTTATCATAGAATCATACAATTGCCTGGGTTGAAAAGGACCACAGCGATCATCTAGTTTCAACCCCCTGCTATGTGCAGGGTCACCAATCACCAGACCAGGCTGCCCAGAGCCACATCCAGCCCAGCCTTGAATGCATGCAGGGATGGGGCATCCACAGCCTCCTTGGGCAACCTGTTCCAGTGTGTCACTTCCTCCTAATATCTAACCTAAACCTTCCCTGTCTCAGTTTAAGACCATTTCCCCTTGTCCTATCACTATCCACCCTCGTAAACAGCCATTCTCCCTCCTGTTTATATGCTCCCTTCAAGTACTGGAAGGCCACAATGAGGTATGGAGTACTCTGAAAATATACAATAATCTCGTTTGTTTTTGCCTTCAAGAAGACCCTACTTTTTCCTATACAACTCACTTTTATATGTTGAATTCTCTTAACAGAATTTGATCAGTTTACAAAAAAAACAAAAAACAAAAAACAACAGATGGGAATACTTCTTTAGCAATAGGCTGGAAAAGACAGGGCACTGATATTTCCTGTTTCTTCTCACATTTCTCTATATAAAATTACTCAGTTAAGGTAGGAGCCATATCCTAAAAACTTATCTTCTGGAACGTTCACTCAGTCCTGGCTTAGCCCATAGTGTGATACTATCATCATGCTGTAATGTATGTGTGAGTTGGAAGAGGTGGCAAAATTGACTGTCAGCCTGCCAAAATTACAACTTATGGCAGGTCTTGCTGGTAACCTCTTTTGATGAAAGTAATGTGTGAATCAAAGAAATGGAACATAAGACAGAAGGAAAATTTAAGCCTACTTCTGTTTAAATATGCCAATGGTCTATAGGCATAATGAAAGTTCTGACAAGGTCCTGACTACCAGTAAAAGCACATCTCCCTTAGTATGTATTGTTTTATTTTTCCCTTTATCTGTCTTTCCTCTCTTTTTGCTCCCAAAGACATCACCACTGTGTGGTGGTGCCTCTTATGAGTGCTTCTGGGCAGAATTTCTTTAGTAACTGTGTGTTGCTGCCTAAAATCTGACTCGTCACATGAGAGAATATTCAAAAGGAGTTCCCACAGACCAAGGGAAACAGGAACGACTTCTTCAGATGTGCAGTTGTGAAACCTACCTGGAGCACTAGACAAGGACTAGCTCAGTGGAAGAATGAGGCTTGCTAAAGCCCCTATCACTAGACCACATAATCTCAAACTGTGATAATTTTGTCTCTTCTCAATCTTATCTTGCAGTCACTACTGATTTAAGATATCTCAGAGATCCTTGCCATGTCAGAAGCAAAAATATTTTTAAACTTAACTGGTTTCTTCTCATTTTAGTTGATAGTTTATTTAAATACTCCAACCACTCTACCAAAGCATCTTACTTTATTTTTAAGGTTACCTCTACTCAGCTGTCACATAATTCACAAGGAGAAGGACAATTTAACCTTCTCTAGCTCAATGAACTGAAACTGCACTCATCTGAGGCACTGGTGCTCCGTCCCCACTTAACACTGGAGCAATCCTCGTATAAATGCATCAGCAGCAGGAGATGGTTACTTACCCTAGTGATACTTCTACTTCAGTCAACTATCTTGTTCTTTGATACTGGGCCTGCATATGGTTAACTTGAAAAAACGTAAATTCCCCCTTACTGAATTGATGAGGGGGAAGAAACTAATAGGATTTTTACTTTGTTTCAAGTTCGATACATTCATAAGTCTTTGCAAGACTGAGTCTCAAATATTAATGAGTTAAATCTGAATGTTCTCATACTCCACAGTACTGTGCGCTGGAGATAAACCTAGATAAAGAGAATCCAACGTTGTAACACTATCTCTTGTTGACAATTCTGGGAGTCTACCTCTATCTAAGAAAGGAAAAAAAAAAAAAGCCCCAAAATGTTGGTTAAGTTGTTTTTTGTTTTGTTTTGTTTGCTTGGTTTTTTTTTTTTGTTTGTTTGTTTGTTTTTTTGTGTGTGTGTGTGTGTTTATTTTTTGGTTGTTTTTTTCCTATCATATCAGACTTTGTTAATGTATTTGATAGCATCTCATGTTTGAGCTTTTTCTTGAAACAATGGAGGTTTTAGCAAAGTAAAAAAAGAGTTTTATTTACTATGTAAAAGCTCAATTATTACAGTAAAAGCTGGAAAGAAGCCATTTCTCTTCTGCTATAGAGTTAGCTTAGTTATGGTTCTCAACGTTTCAGAGAAGCAATTTATTATTTAGATAAAATATGACCTTTTTTCTTCCCCCAGTCATTAATCACAGGCACTAGTAAGTTCGTGATTAAACAGTTTATGAAGTGCAGTAAATTTTATCAGGGAAAGCAGAAGATTTATATAACTTTCTGAAATTATAGTTTCTTCAGTGCTATAAAGCAGCAGACCAGTAGTCAGTTTTCCTTCAGATAGAAATTTGGAAACATTGTTTTTAGTTTCATCTTCTTCAGTTATTCATACTCAACTGATCGGTCTTTGTTGAATATTCCATCTTTTTAATGGCATTTGACTGATGGGTGTAGTCTAGAAGCAAAGTACTGTGGTCTCCGAGATAACTCAATTCTTCTACTTCCTTTCATCTTATCATACCTCCCATTACCATAGTTGTATCCTCTGCCTATTTATATGTTGTAGAAAGAACAT